CATGCAAGAAATGAAGAGTTTAGGTCGTGAAAGAGATATTTAAAAACAATAATAATAAAATGAACACACAGAAAGAGCCATTCAACGGAAAGCTTTCTGATTTGCCCCTACTCTTACCAGTTGTTGGAAAGTAAGATTAGAAAAAAGAGGGGAAAAAAAGGCTACCGAAAACCATAAGATCCCTTTTCTGTTTACTTTTTTTTTGGATTTGAATCTGTGATAATTTTGATCGATTAACCGATAATGAGATGAGTAGCCCATATCTATTATAAATTTGATATCACATTAATATTCTTAGGTTCCATTTCAAAACCAATTGACGATAGATGAATAGTTCATGTCTATTATATACCATTGTAAGGAAATTTTTTCTTTTTAATGTGGGATCGTTAACACATTTTATTACTGGTGTCAACTCTCTCATCAAAATAGATTGAAATAGTTGTTTCAAAAATAGTTAAAAGTAGAACTTCAACTTACATATTACATTTCTTCTCCGAGTGTTGGGTACTTGTAGGAAGCCTATAAAACACATTTTCGTTGAAGTCAATTTGAGTTTTGAAGCTTACAGAGCATGATAGGATAGAGAATATGTTTCAATCTTATATACATCTTCATATATATAGGTATATATAGTGAGTGTATAGCCATAGGCGCTGTAGTAAGACTCCAAACATGTCATGAGTACCATAGTCATAGGCACCATGGTAGGGTGATGCCGAACATACCACCTCTCATAATGGATGCAACTTGCTATGATGGTTTATGATAATGTCTCAAATTTCAACTTTTGTAATAATTCTTAGATATATTGAAAATAAGATGAGGGTTTTTTGCTACTATCGTCAAGGTCTACACCGATGGCCGCTCCAAACTCCTTTTGTTTCAAATTATTTTTCACTATTAAAAATTTAATCCTGAGTTTAGAGTTCCAAATTAAAGAAAAAGAAGATGAAAGATAATATATAATATTTTCTTAATTGATAACCTAATGGTTAGGAACTGCCAAATAATTATTAACCACGCTATGTTATCTATCATTAATTATTTAGTTTTGTCAACGTAACTATACGGAGATTATATAATTTCAGTTTGTAATGGTAAAGATATGATTTGATTGGACAGACCCAATGATAATTATTTTGGAGGCTTGTGTGTGTTGTAACTGTATGTGGCATGGTCATGTAAAACAATACATATATGTTATAAAGTTTCATACTTTTTAATATAATATAATTTTATATTTACACTACTTGTAAAATTTAAAAAGGCGTAAAATAATTGGTCAAAAAAATCTTATTGAGGCCCAACATATCATTGTTATAAGATAAATCTAGAGGTTCTAATTTAAAAAATGTCTAGTCTGGTCATGGTGGCGTTTTATTAATACTTTAAAAGTAAGCCAACGTTAAAAAAAATTTAAATGTTAAATATTAAAACTTTAATACCTAATTTTGGGATGGAAATCCCTTTTAATTGAATAGGGAGGGCCATGCCTCTCCCACTCGCCGTCTCCATCCGACCCTTGATTTGATGATTTATTTATTTTTTCTTTATTGTTATATTTTAATAATTAAAAATACTCCAAAATAAAAAAAAGTTGGAACAATACTTTCAAAATTTAGTTCATTTCAGCCCTTACCAAAAATTTTATTTCCATTCCTGTATTTTTAAAAGTTACAATTATAGTCATTGTTTGTGAAATTTTAGTTACCACTCTTATAACTTAGTTGTAAAGGTACTTACAAAATTGTTGCAGTTACCCTTCACTCAAATATTAACATACTAATGACTATCCAAAAGCTTTCAACTAATGGTTAATCTGAACATAACTAAATTAGTTAGGTAGGTCGTGAGTTTATTTTTTTAGATTAATGAATAGCTTATAAAAAGAACTATTACCAAATTATTTTATTTTATCATTTAAAAGTTCCGACTATTTATCGATACAATTTTGTTAGTAATCTAATTTTCAAAGATCGTATTTTAAAGGTGATTAAAATATAAAAAAAAATTAATTTAAATTGGAAAAACGAAAATATGTGTATTTAGTTGTGATAAGTTTAATTTAAAAAATAAAAATATCAACTAAGGGAGAAAAATAAGCTATTTAATGTAACTTGATAGATAAGTAACATAAAATATATTATATATTACTTAATTAATTCAAGAAAATGTTGTGTCGAAATTCGAAGAGTAATGTGAATACTTTAAACAATAAATAATTCAATTTTATCATGAAGCATGGGCTGCACTGTCATTTTCATAATTAAATTGTAGTTTGTCACTTTTTTGTTTGGTCCTGAAAGATAACAGGCTCCATCATGGATTTGGTGATTAAATAATGTTTAAACATTGATTCAAATTCAATAATGTTTCACCGCTTTTTTCGGTTAAGACACTTATGTCCAATTAAAAGGTCACGAGTTTGAATCATCTACCTTACATATTTTATTAATAAATCTCATAATAGTTTAGAAAAAAAACTATACATTTTTCCCTTGTTTTGTTATGCCAAATTCCTTTCAATTATTATAATAATTTACCTATGTGTGGATAAACATGCCATTAATACGTTGACCTAAGAATATCTCAACCGATTTCTCAACCTAAAAGTCGTAGATTCGAACTCTCACCCATACATATTACTGTACTTAAAAAAAAACATGTCATTAATCGTCAAGGAGTTATAAACAGTTGCTTTTATTATCATAGACATTTAATTTTCTAGTTATGAAATATTCAATTATTTGTGAAATTTAATGAACATTTCATTTAATATATATATAGCCAAGCCGAATATAATTAAGTAAAATAAAAGATCGTTAAATAAATAAAATATTTATTTTCATCTCAAAGATGGGTGATGGTTTGATCCCCATCTTTCACCGTTATTAAACTAAAAAGAAGATATATATAGATGTAAAAGATGCCATTGCCATTACCTTTTTCTTTTTTTCCTTTCCTAACCTAGGGAGGGTTATTGTTATTCTTCTTTGGAAAAATCTTACCTAAGGAGTTGGTTCATGTAACTATCAGTTCCAAAGGGGCCGGGTCCACGTAGACCATACAATAAAATTCATGAGTTAGGCAAATATTATATTGGTTTAAATCTTACTTCGACCCTTGTAGTTGCAGCATTATTGTAACTATACTGCAATGAGATGTATCATGATAGTGTAAAACATGAGATAACATTAGTTGCACATTCTAAACACCGACCTCTTTCCTCCTCATGCTCTATCGAACCAGTTTTGAAGTGTTGAGAATATGATTTATCTAAATTTGGATGATTTTTAATCTCACTTGGTCGATTTATAATCCACCTAATTAGGTCAAAGTGGCTTCATTATCTCCTTTGGACCAAACGACTACATATGTAGACTCGTCTAAATTTTACAATATATCTTTCTAACCGTGGCTTGAAGTATGCTAACACCATGGACTATTATCAATTTTGAAAAAACTAAATCTCTCCCACAAAACAATTTTATATAGATAATTTAAGTCATCAAAATTTAATTTACAATTTTGCTAACTTAAAATTTATCAATTGATTAATAAACTATTCCAATTAGTGGAAAACAAAGCAACAATATATATACACACACAGAGTCCAACTAGATAGGTTGAGTGGGAGAATCTAAAAAAATTGGTATATGATATGATCCAAAATCCCATCATCAACTTTAATGGGATTTGATTCGTTGAGCATGATAATTGCTTATTGAAACTCTAAAAATGGAATACGAAAAACTGGTTAGGACAAATATTAAAAACAGTTTTTCTAAATAACTTAATTATCATAAACTATAATCTTCTTCTTCCTCTTCTTCTTTTTCTTTTTTTTTTTTGGAGCATAGATTACATTTAGGYCACGTTTACTTATC